CCTGCGTTTTAGTAAGATTGATTACTCCTGTGAGTTTCATGACAACAGGCCTATCGGTTTTCCTTGAAATGTGTTAACAGTGTTGCATATATGCTGAAAAGTGAAAAAACAGCATAACTACTAAAATAGTGGCCCGATCATGCCGATTTTCGAACTTGATCTGCGTTTTAGTAAGATTGATTACTCCTGTGAGTTTCATGACAACAGGCCTATCAGTTTTCCCTGAAATGTGTTAACAGTGTTGCATATATGCTGAAAAGTGAAAAAACAGCATAAATTCTACAATAATGGCCCGATCATGCTGATTTTCGAACTTGACCTGTGTTTTATGAATATTCATCAGCTCTGTAAATATAAAGCCAAAAAGTAAAACTGTCTTCCACTTATGGTGTTAACGCTGAAAGTGCACGGCGACATGATCGGCGACGGCGACGGCGACGACAGACGCAGGTGATGGCAATATGTACAGACACATCTGTGTCTGTACATAATAAAAATCAAGGTCTTAATATTATTCAATTAATATTTATGCAATAAGGGAAAATGCCCAGTCTTATCAAAATTTTTATTCCTTCAATAAATCCCAATTTGGACTAGTAGATTATAGGAAAGGGGCGATCTGAATGGCCAGTAAGGAGAAAAGTTTACGGCACAGACTGTAATACATCCAGGGCTCCGTATCTCGAAAGGTTCGCTATGTTGCGCACGAGCGTTAGTGTCTCAATTCCATAACCGATTCTATTTCGAGATACGGGGCCATGGAATCGAGACACTTGCGCACGTGCGCAACATAGCGAACCTTTCGAGATACGGAGCCCAGCCTAACTTACTTCCAGAGGTAGATATGTGTGCTTCTGTTCCTGCCCCACTTGGAGACAGGGGAGGTGAGGGTAGCGGAGCTTCATCTTGTACCTCTCCAGGAAATACTTGGCCACCGTGCACTCCACCGTCTGACCAGACTCCAGCTGAAGTGGGAACCTGGAAGAATGAGAGAAAAAATTAACTATTTTGTATCTAAGAGGTTGTCAATTTCTTCATGCCTGTGCATTTGCTTTCTTCTAATCCCACTTTTGAGTTATATTGAGTTAATTATTTTTTTAATGAAATTGTGAAATAAATGAACATACATTTTCCCTTGGTCTCTCTTTCTCTCAGCTTACACGTATACTTTTCTCTGATGACTTCCCTGCACTTACTCCCCTACCCCCCAAAAAAATGCTATGGACTGTGAACTGTTCCTTCTCTCACTCTCTCAGCTACAACAATTGCTGCTGTCTCACCCATGCTCTCCCTCCTCCCCTCCCTCAGTCTTCAAACTCCCCCTGCACTTTTTTACCTCCCATTCCCTCCTCTCTCCCTACCCCTCCTTAATGAATAAAAAAGAAAAGAACTCCTCCTTACGACTGAGTTTGGGCAGGTCTCCTGGTGACATTGCATACTCTGTATTTCCTCTTCATAGTTCCACAGTGGGTGATCTCCACTTTCAAACCTACAAATGTACAATTATATATTTATTTCTATCCTGGCTATCACACTGATACAAAAGTAGGGGTTATATATTTTGACAATTTTAGGCTAATACAGTTAACAAGAATGCAGCAATTTTTTTGAACATTTAACACATTTCATTCTGCCCAATTTTAAGCAATCTTTTTAATTTTCAAAAACGAGATTCCTAAGTGTGACAATCAAAGATTTCTTATAACCATAACATTTTTGAAAAATAAAATTTAAATTTTGTCTTCTTTCACTTTTCTAAAAACCGACTGTTCAAATGACTTTCTGAAGCAAGTTTTCTCACATTTTTAAACATTTTCATGCCATTCTCCAAGATTTTCCAAGTCTCATTTAATCTAGCTTTTTTGATACCTTTAATTTCTTTGGTAAATTTAACTCTTTGAGAGTCTGTAAGAGGTCGCCTCTGTTCTTCAACATTGTGAATGTCCAACACCTCGCACATAAACTCAATCACTGGCTGGGCCTTGTAGAATGCAGTTGCCGACACTGGAAAATAACAAATAAAATCAATAAGTTAAAGTCCTCAGTTCTAAATAATTTATCTATTTTTTATTTTTGTGCTTGTTCAGATTTTTTATTTAGAGGAGAAAAGGAGCTGAGTAGATTTCACATATTTAAGAAATCAGACTCAGTTCACAAATGTATAAAATTCTTTTCACTCCTACATGTTAAGATTTTAGGAAAGAAAAAACAAAGATAATGTAACTTTAGTAACACACTTTTTTCTGAATACCAACAAGTTAGTAAATAAAACACTGTTAAATATCTTAATCACTTGTAAATATTCCTTCACAGTTTAATTTAAGAGAATATTGTTTTAAAAACACAAAGCAGCAGCTAAAGCAAGTGTATTTGGCACAGGGAAACAGTCACACCACTGCATAGCGTACTTTTAATCAAAGTTGAAACTAGAGTTGATACTGTCTTGCAAAAATGAACACCAGGTGGCCATGATCTAGACACCAGGTGGCTTTGATTTTAAAAAAATCACGAAGACTATTTGCAACAAAGCCGATGTGTTTTCTAATAATTTTTTTTCAAATCACACATCTTTTACATTGGGCGAATTGACAAGGAAGGAAAATTTGTCATATCTTTTTTAAAACAATGTTAACTATTAGTTCCTTTCTGACAACTCTTTACCCTTTGATCCACCAAAATTCTTGTTTATCATAAGGATCCTGAGAAACTGACCAGGGACATAAACAAATGTTTGAGTGCTTCTTGATACACCTAGCTGTTAATATTTATGAGGGGTCAGTTACAATACTGGCCATGCACGGACCACAACACAATTACGATAAATATAGACATGTGACAAGACAGACCACAAAGTCAACTCCATTAACTAACACAGTATTTCTGGACAATAAATTCACCCCTCTCAAATAATAATAATAATAATAATAATAATAATAATAATAAAATGTATATAAAATTCATTTGGGCAAAAAAGGGAGACCAAAAATTTTTATACCCTTAGTGCGTACACTATAAACAAAAGTTAAGATACTGCTGTAAAGACCCATTTCTTTTAAATACAAGGATTTACAAACACTTTAAAATCATTTCCCTTCTGATAAATAGAAATTTTTACAAACAATTACTACTTCTTCCCTTTTAAACCTTTCATAAGTACAACAATAAAAATCTTAATTTTAAGACTAATCTGGATGACAGTTATACATGGCTGTAGTTTTGTTAGTAGTAAGACATTAGGTTCAGTTAGTCAAAGTAAAATTAGTATGTATCTACTGCATGCTATTCTCTACCAGTAAGTTTTGATAAGATGTCAAGTCAAGGTACAACTAATCACTAAGAGTTGGTTAATGAGTAAAAATAGTTAATCATAATCATGATCAATCAATATTGTTAATCAAAAGTAAAGATCAGGGTTGCCAACTATTCACAATCATGCTCATTCTTTAGATTGCAATCAGTGCTTTAATTTTCAGGTACTAAAAACCTCACTCAATAATCACAAAAAAATGCAATTTATGACTTAAAATCACTTTTCACAAATGCTTAATCAAAATTTTTTCAAGTATAACTAACAAAAAAATGGTTTGGATAATATTAATGATTTCCCAAAATTAACAACTAATTGCTGTAGTTGTACTTTTTACCACAGTATAAACCATTATTTCACCTATTTCCACCATAACTCTAACCATGTTGGCAACCCTGGTGGCAGGAACTCTACACTAGTATTCCACTAGACTACATATCCCAGCTGCAGCCAAATGGCATCAAAAGCTTTTTTACCATCAATGTTAAGCATCATTTTCCACTGTGAAGGTCTTATGCTTTGGTGGAAACCAAACCAAACCTCTCTCCCCCCACCCAGGGGGTGGTAGTAATTCTCTGGGGGAGAGAAGAAGGAACGCCCAACAGGTGTATACCTATAAGGAATATATATAGACAAGCGATGACATAATGATTGGCTAAGCTAAAGCAAGCTGCCCCAACGCTGAGGTCAGTCCTGGCCATGCATGGAGAAATTATTATAGATGGCAGCAGCAGCAGCGGCAGCGGCAGGTCACCGTGGTGACCACAAGCAGCTGCCTTCCCAGCATGCATGGTATTGACAATCTGCAGCAGCACCTAAATTCCGCGGCTAAGGTCGAGGTGGTCATAAGCAATTCTTGTCTGCCTCTCGGACATGCATGGATAATAAATAACAGAGGAAGATGGCTGGACGGTGTCACCATCTGGTGGTGGTAGTCGCAAGCACTTGGCACGGCAGCCGATCCAGTGGACATGCAGGTGGAGACACCTGGTGGTGACATTTCTGGCGGTGGATTGATCAGCCTTTTAACTTTCACACACGTTCGATTGATTTCAACCAATTTTATTCATTTGCAGTCTTTTAACTTGAGCAAATTATAATCTTGGAGAAGACAACATGTGATCAAAATCTTTGTGTGTGGATAAAGTTAAAAAGCTGTCAAAAAACACGTCTTCACACACATACAAACAAGATTTCTTTTCAAAAGCCAGGATCAGGCCAGTCTTTATGCCCATACATTCAGTCAAGTGGTGATAAGCCCTTATACTTTTTAAACATAAACAACCAATCTAATCCCTCTGTTTCCCACCCAACAACAACGAGACAATCTTGAAAACTGCCATCGTATTCTCTGGCAGAAAAAACATACATCAAGTTCAGCAGTCACAACTTGGACTAGAAAAATTGGGTACAGTTTACATCAAGTCTGATGCTGGCTATCGATAATGTAGGGATCAAACATGCATGCCAAAGCATATAGAGGGTATATACTGCATCAGTGTGGACATACGCTGTCTGGAAGCTTTGTGTTGTATATACTACTGACATATTGTATTTTGCTACTATACATCTTTTTTATGCTCCATAAATTCCAAATCAGATAGACCGAAAACTGTTTTAAGTCTCATTTCTGGAATCGCCTATTACTTTGCAATCTTTTCCGTTGTTGTCCATCTTTCACCCCCCCCCCCCCCCAATAGACAAGTGCACTATATACAACAGTCAAGTGAAGTGCAGTATACACAACACATAGGGATTTCCATCAGCCATACATACACTGCTGTATATACACAGATATATGTGGTATGTAATAATAATAATAATATAACAGCAGACCACAGCGCCACCAACCAAGACAGTCCTCACCTGTGTCTCCCCCTTGTGGCAAAACAAAAAGACCTACCATCTATATTTAACATCATTTTCCAATGCGAAGGGCGAACACTTTGGTGGAAACCGAACCACACCTCTCTACCGCCCCCTAGTGGGTGATCGTACCCCTCGGGTGGGGAGAAAAAGGATCGCCCCACGGGTGTGTATCTGGAAATGGAGGAAAAAGGTGGCCACAGAAAATGGCGGTCATTAATACTGATATAGCTTGGTTGAAATGAGTGCAGCTGAAATGTTGGCAAGAATCTGGAAAAGAATTGCCGGAGGCCCAGAGATGCACCTATTGGATGAGGTATCATCTGCTTGAAGAAAAAAAAAGAAACTGAGAAAAACATGACAATAATTGAATATCTGACATCAAAACCTATTGTGATGCATTGCCCCAGATTTGTTACATTTTCTTTCCCTGAAACAAAAACCAACATGAACAAATTCATACAAGCATTTTGATAATTCAATACAATGTAAAAACTTCTATCACCTTTACAGAAAACTTCTGAAAATACACTGAAATGTGTCTCGATACTTGATGGTAAAGAAAGTCCAAACGCCATGATTCACACATAAAAATCCATGTCAAGCCTTGTGAGAAATAAATTATATTTTTAACCGCTTTTTAAAATATATGAAAATTCTGTTTTCTTTTCAATCACCTCTTTATTGTTTCCATAAAAAGTTGTTGTTTTTTTTGTTTTTTTTTTCATTTCAAGCATTCTAAAAAAGTCTATTGGAAAACAAAACTTACGTCATGCTCGGCAAATGGCGCATGACCACATCAAGGGCCTGAATTGCTTCGAAGGGAATCTGATGAGTGCGCCCTTCCAATGACTCCTCTAAGGCAAATAGACTGATCTGAGCAACCCAGCGCACAGAAACCTTGAACACGCGATCTTTGCCCTCTCCTGGCAGAGTGACCTCCAGCTCCACCTGGTGGTCGGGAAAAAAATCGTCAGATTTTAAATTTTATGCACATCAACCAAAGAGCTTGAGATATGAAATTTTAGCTAAACCAGCAAAAATGAAAATAATCAGCCAATTTTACTTGAGATAGAACACTGATAAACATAGAACACTGATATAATACATTTATTTTATTTTACATCAAATTACTAGAGTAGGATACTCTCAGATGAATCACAATCTACGTACTACCACACGTCCAGTTATTACTAAATCACGTCCACCCACCTTGTCCCTGCCAATGGGGAGTGGATCTCTGCTGTACAAGTTTTTCCTCCCATCAAACACAGGCTTCTGGCCAGCAAAGATCTTCTGTTGATACGCTTGCACCATTGTCTCGATAATCTCCCTGTACGATAAAGAGATCATGACATCATTTACATAATCAATTTATCATCTTCTTTCTATTAATATGGCTCAGGTGATCCATGCATAAACATTTTTTTAAATTCATCTTGCTTATAATTTTATAGTACAACATTACTTTTAAAATAATACTTACTGTTTTCATAATATTAAATTCAGGTCTGTTGGTAGAAACCACATTACTGTCGCATTCAGAACAGTTAATGCTATATACGAGGTATGGAGACCCGAGTGCATAGACTTAGCACCCAAATATCCAGACTTCTGGGTAATTCAAGAGTATCTTCACCTGTATAAAACCAAACACCTGTCACACTTCAAAACTCACCTGTTTACTCTCCTTGGGCACTTATCTGGCGTGATGGCCACATCATAGTGGTGGATGTATCCTTTGGGAATTCGCACTTGGAAATGGTTGGCTCGGAGCAAGATGGGACGTCCCTCCACACCGTGATTGGGGCGAGCGGGACACGTGAACTCGATCGGTGGCGGCGGCTGTCCTGGGGCAGAGGGTGGAGGTCCTGGCGGTCCTGGTGGACCTGGGGGTCCCGGCGGGCCTGGTGGTAGTCCCCCTGGCTGTCCCGGGGGTCCTGGCATGTGCCCCGGGGGCCCTGGAGGGTGGCCTGGGGGTCCCGGGGGGCCTGGAGGACCAGGAGGGCCTGGTGGACCTGTGTATAAACGTAAACGTAAGTGAGGTAAAGGAGGGAAATCACACAACTGTAATGCAGGAACCAGTTTGAAAAAATCTGGAGCCTGAAAATGGTTTACACATTTAGACCAAAGTTTTAGTCTAACTGCTCCAAAACAATGCAGTCATACTGGTGGCAGAATTAAATGAATTGCTATGACTGTTCAATAACAAGAAAACTTTTTCTAACATTTCAGACTAAAAATTGCTTGATGTAAGAAGTTTTTAAATTTAACTTGAACTGAAGTAGACTAAAACTTTGGTCTAAATTCTGACAAGGGGAAACATTTTTCTCATTTATTTGCTAAAACAATAATTCAATGTTCCAACAGCAATAATATTTCTTAGATCCCATTGTAAAAGAAGCTACACCTATTATGACAGCAAAGTAACTGTAACCTTATATATGGACTTCCATTGCTTAGTTCACGATTTTTATATATGGAGGTCCATTACTCTATTTATCACTTTTACAAGTAGTCTGAACATAAAATCCAAAGATTACAACAGTAGCAACGACAACAATGACAGTGTAACAGTAACAATACTAGACATGTTAATACATATCAACAGTACATATATTCACAAATCAACTATGTCAAGACTTCTTACTAAAATCTCCATCCAGAAGATTTCAGTGTTCAAACACTAAGTCCATGTGAATGTATACTCTACACTTGTTGATTTAAAGGTACCATGACATCACAATTTAAAGGTACCATGACATCACATGACCTAAAGGTACCATGATATCACATGACTTAAAGGTACCATGCCATCACATGACCTAAAGGTACCATGACATCACGACTTAAAGGTACCAAGACGCCCTGCTAAGGTGGTGACCTTGTGCAAAAACAAAGTTTACATTTTGCCTACTTTAAATTGGATCATTTTCAAGTTTAAGTGTAAGCATAAATCAGTTTTAGTTATTGCTTCATAGTTCATTCATAATGATCTCACGGTACCTTTGCCATCTCTAGTGTTACAGATCATTTCAAAAACTCTACTTTAAGGCGTGTTTCCAGTAAAGATGGGTTCACCTAACCTAAGGCATCTCTTCTAGAGGCGTTTCCATTGGAGATGCACCCACATAACTTACAACAATTCTTATCCCCACTGACTTCCTATGAGACCCAGATAAATTAGACAAACCCATATTGACTGGGTACATGAATAAAGCATGAGTTAAGAGTTTTGTTGATTATTTCCTCAGCATACAGTACTTAAGACTGGATGTATAATTTTGTCCTAGCTGTTGACATATGCCATAAAGTTCACAGACAGTCAGAAGATGTCAACAGTAAAGAACCAGAGTAGATACACAGTCCAAAGAACCGCATCAATTATTTACAATAACAAAACCATCAACAGAAGAAAAATTTTCAAAACCATTCACATGTCGTCTCGACACAGGTGTGACCTTACTTGTCAAATTAGGAAGATTGGGCAACCCAGAAATGCCTAAAATGTCTCCTCCGAAACTCGATCTGCTGGGTTGTAACCCGGGCGGCCCGGCCAATCCCTGTGAAGCTGAAAATACATAAAGAAGCAGACACGTACAGTGAAAGCTGCAGGGGATGCCCTTCCAAGTTCCAGGGGGGTCCTACTGGTATGCTGGGGGTTTCCATTCCGACAAACAGGGGCTCCCTCTAAAGCATGATTATATGTGTGCGAATTTGAAGATGGAGAGATAAAAGAGACAAGCATATTGGTTATATAATAGATATATATATATTTACACATACAATATGCCAGGCTGATATTTTTCTACAGCACAAGAAAGCAGAAAGCAGCTCCAAATATTTTACTGCTTTTTTAGCGATAAGATAGTATAAATGTAAAGCCAATATGATGTTTCAATGACCAATCAAAACTTCTTAAAATTGAGGTTTTAGAATACTAGTGGAATATAAGATGCCTTCAGAAATCTGCTTTGGCAATAAAAAGTACTATTTTTTATTTCTTTTTTCAGAATGATCTTGGAAATTCTAATTAACTTTCAAATTTTGTAAAAAAAAAGAATAAATCTTAATCCAACTTAAAATCAATCAATGCAAACAATTCCAACAATGCTTGAAGACATCAAGTTCCCATAATGCAAGAGGGCAGAAAGTTCCCATGGTGCACTGGGGCTTCCTGTACACTCTGGGGAACAAAAAAAGGGCTTGAGCCCGAAAAAAAAATTGTCTAAACTTAAGACCAAAAATTTAGTTTACTTTACTTTAATTCAAGATAAATCCATGCTTATTCAAATGAAAATGAATTACTGTGTCCCTTTAAAAAAAGAGAAAGGCAAAACTTACTTTATCAACACTGAACTACTGTGGAATTCTCTTAGAACTAAAGCCTAGACCAAATAGCAGGCTGAAGTTCCCACACCCCAAGCATTTGAGAACTGCTCTGCATGCTTTCTCGCGCTTCTATACCAGCCTCTATAGAAAGTAAAACTCGTGGTCACATTACCTGGATACGGCAAGCTATTACCTGGGTAAGGCAAGCTATCTCCTCCTAGCGGAGGCCGTGTGGTCTGGAGACTCGGCGGTCCTGGGAGACCTTGGGAGGCTGGAATAGAAATAACATCACAGTTTTATTGATGGAAAATAGAAAGGCACTTTTAAAATTTTTTATTTTTTTGAGGGGGGTGGGGCACTTTACAGTCTTGCAGCTAGAAAGACTGAGAGTCCAAAACAGAGGTGCAAACTGTGTGAATATAGAGTTATTAAAGAAAATCAGAAGCAAGGGTTTTCCCAGCGGACTGTCTAGCCCTCATTTGGACAGCCGCCAGCATCACCAGACAGCCTATATTTTCAAAGAGGGCTGGACAGCTCATGGATTTTTTTTTCGGAAATATTATGGCTTTAGGCATATTAAGAATCCCAGAAATTTTGTAGGAAATTACAGGTGGTAAATTTGGACGGGCTGTACCCCCAATCCTGGGAAAATCCCTTCTCAGAAATATAACAATAAGACTTATTAACACTTCTTTTGACATTGAATCATTCCATGTCATAGGAACCTTTTGAACATTTACAGTAAACTTTAAGGCACAAAAACATTGGTTTGGGACACACTGGATGAATCCATGTCAATGATGTCATCCAAATTTTTTTAGCAATTACCGTAGACACACGACAAATTCTCATTTCTCAAACCACAGAAACAAGCATGAAATGCATGCTAAAATCCCATTCCTTTCCCCCTGAAAGCAAAACTAATTCCAGGTACTCGTGAGATGGGAAATATTGATCTGTCTCTGAAAACTAACACGTAATGTCTTAATTTAGGCCGTCACAACAGTATCTTGATTTTGGCTATCAAAGGTAGTAGACTTCTTAGCACTTTCACGCATCAACCTCGGATGACCTTGCAAACAACCAAGGGGCTCGTTTAACATGGAAGATGTGAAGAAAGAAGAAAAGAATTGGTCTTAGTTTTAAATCACATTTTACTCAACTTAAAACCAAGAGAAATCGGTAGTCCCAACTAAATCCGATTTTGAGCCGTATTATATGGCTAAATATTTTAGACCAGTACTTTCTTTAAGCAAACTACAATGGAATTATCGTGCACGTAAGTAAAGCACATTCTTGGCTTTTAAGCAGAGACCAATATTCTAATAAAATTCTCCTTTGTGGTGGTTTCATATAAAGAAGATTTCATCATCAAGTTGTGAGATTATACTAAGAACTACAACAGTGTCAAGACAGAGCACTAATCCAAAATACTCATCTTAATTTTTTTTCCTTTTCTTCTCCATTTTCAACTTGAGCCCAATTTCCAGGTTGATTTTTTTTTTTTTTTTTTTTTTTTTTTTTTTTTTTTTTTTTTTGTGAAACTGGCCCCATTGAAAATCTAAAACCAGGCTCCCGTTTCACAAAGAATCTTAAATCCGTAGACGTCTTACTCGAGCTGGGTGGCCTAGCTAGGTCGACTTAGCTGAAGTCGACTTGGAGTGTTTCACAAAGAATCTAAAGTCTTAGCTTGGCGTGCTTACCGTAGTCGACGCGCACGAGAAACTCTTCAAGAAAAGGAGGTGTAAAATTGCAAAAGTTTCACAAGACTTGACGTTTCATGGCCTCTTTCGGTTGAGAACAATCGTTTATCAACGATAAAAGTCAGCCAAAACACAAACAAAGTTTGTTTTTGAACTTTATTGATTAGTTTAACTTCAATACAACTTCAAAGCAACAGTTAAACATTAGCTTGTCTTGGAACACTACTGAGGGACGTCTAGCGGTCAAAAACATAAACAAACACGCGATCGGCTGGGTAAAGTGGAATTTTATTTTTTATTTTAATATTCCATAAATGTCAGTGCTATTCAAGGATATTATAACACAATATCTTGAAGGAGGTATGTTCTTTTCAAATTTTTGTTGTTTATGCTCTCATTTACCGAGTTTTAGTTGAGCTTGCCGACTTAAGTCTCCTCCTGAGGAGGCTTGACATCGTCGACTTACAGCTAAGAAAAAAACGACGTAAGCGACCTTTTAGATTCTTTGTGAAACAGGACTTAGTGACGTAACGACTTAATTACGTTGGTAACCAAGCCCTAAGTCAGGGAAACCGACTTAAGTTTTTTTGTGAAACGGGGGCCAGCTTGACTGCCAGCTAAGTAATACTCCACTAGATTTTAATCTAAAAAGTGAGCCATGTCATTACTACAAGGTCAGTTCAAACAGGGTTGCTTTAAAATGGATACTGGCTAAACTAGCACCATCAGATGACCCGAAACAGAATTTAACGCAGCCACCATGCACATAATTACAATACTCTTTGCTAAATCTAACTGTGAAAACTGAAACTGAGATTCACAAGTGGAAAAAGTGATTCAACTCTGCGATGAGACTTCAATCACAACGCCAGCCAGACCTTTTTTGTCTGGATATCTGATGGTTAAGTAAAGCCCATTTCCGGGTTTAAATAGCCTCTGTTTAAACCCGGCTAGAGAAACAGCAGGCTCACTCCAGCACTGTAAGTTTAGCCAAAAACTGAACATTCTTATTTGGCTTAGGAATATTTTACTTTTTTCAAAAAAATTAAAGACTGATACTCACAACTATTTTATATTTTTAATCATAAGCATCAGTTTTTAATCCATTGAATCATACCACCCCGCCACGACTTCATCACAAATATTTCTTTTCAACTGAAATTATCCAGGCCCCGTAACCCGTAAGCATCTCATATTACGAAAAAACAATATCACATAGAGGCTACATTGTATTATATGGGTCGATAATGAGCAAGTTATGGAATCGAGACGCTTACACTCGGTCGCAATCCGCGATGCTTTCAAGTTACAGGGCCCAGCCCTTTGGCTAAAATTAGTTGTATCCCAGAGTAACCTTAGGGGTCAGTCAGAATAGGGGACTTACCAGTCCAAGGATCAAATATGGCCGACCCACTTGAATACTTCCCAACGGGGTATCTATTCAGTGTCTATTAGCGGATTAGACAGCAAGCTTTGTATTAGGTCGCCATATTTGACCCTCAGACAAGTTAGTCCTCTATTCTGAATGGGGCCTTAGAAGTTATCCATATAAATTATACCTTGCCAGAGAGATTCATCGGGCGGCCTGCTGGGCTGGTTAGTACTGAGCCAACTGGACGCTAAAAATACAGTGCAAAATATTAGAATTCATGTGACAGTGAAAGTATTAGACTTCTAAAACACACTCAGACTAAAACAAAATATTAAAATTCATGTGAAAGTATTAGATTTCTATAACACACTCAACCTGATATAAAAAATATTAGAATTCATGTGACAGTGAAAATATTAGAATTCATGTGACAGTGAAAATATTAGAATTCGTGTGACAGTGAAAATAATAGACTTCTAATCTTCAACACACTCACACATAAGAATTTAAGTGAATTTAAGCCAAAGTATTAGACGGGTAGTCTTCAACAAACTCAGACTAATCCAAAATATTAGAATTCATGTGACAGTGAAAGTATTAGATTTCTAGTCTTCAAAATATTCCGACATGTACAAAATACTAGAATTCATGTGGCAGTGAAAGTATTAGATTTCTACAACACACACAGACAGACACAAAATATTAAAATTCACATGACAGTTAGAGTATTAGATTTCTAGTTCTCATCACAGATGGATACAAAACATTAGAATTCATGTGACAGTGAAAGTGTTAGGCCCCCATTCAGAATAAGGGACTACTAGTAACTAGGCCAAGTGTCAAATATGGCCGACCCACTAAAATACTTCCCCACGGGATATCTATCATGTCTACTAGAGGATTAGGCTCTGTTCCCATAGATTTTGGATCGATCTATCCCCGCGGGGAGTCTCACTAGATTACTTTCAGATGATCCGACTTAAAGTCCGTCCCGCCTACTACAAGCTGTAAGGGGATAATTAACTTTCATATCAGCCCGGCTGACAGCTATTTAGTGTGAACCCCCAGGGAGTTAGGTCGATCTAAAGTAGGTCGATCTAATCTATGGAAATGGGGTGTCAGACTGCAAGCTTTGTAGTGGGTTGCCATATTTGACCCTCTGACTAGTTAGTGTCCCAAGAGGCTATTCAGAACAGATCATCCGAGTACTAACTGAGCCGCCGATTAAATATGGCTGACCCCACTTCAAAAGCCAAGCTATGATGGTCACCTCATCTCCTTAGCAGGTGCCTAGCAATTAGACCTTGGAGCCAAGGTTTAATCTGATTAATGGTACGTGTAGAAGCAGGAAGACCATCGCTTTTGAAGTGAGGTCGACCATGTTTAGTCTGTGGATCAGTTAGTACGATCATCTATTCTAAATTGCCCCTATTCTGAATGGGGCCTTAGACTTCTAGCAATCACAATTTAAAAGTGGTAGCAAAACTGCTGTATTTCTTCCAAAATGATCAAATTAGGACCAAAAAAAAAACTTGGTGATGATTAAAGATATTAGTCACTGGACACACAGACTGTGAGAAATTCTGCTTCAGGATGTAGAACAAATCTTTATTCAAGACCCCATTCCCACAGATTTTAGATCGATCTATCCCTGTGGGGAGTCTCACTAGATTACTGTCATCTTAGCCGGCTTAAATGTCTGTCCCGCCTACTAAAAGCTGCAAGGGGGTAATTAACTACCATGTGCCTCGGCTGACAGCAAACAAGCGTGAACCCCCAGAGAGTTAGGTCAATCTAGTCGGATCGCTCTAAATCTATGGGAATGCACTCCAAGTGACTCCTCGCTACTAAAATCCAGGTCTTATTAATGGATTAGCTCAAGTCTCAGATTGATGAGCACAAATGCCTAATCTAAGGATTGTGTTAGAAAACAGAAATTATTTTGTTTATAAGTACTAAAATATATTATTTTTTTATCTCTGGCTCACAAAGTAATATATAGAGTGAAAACTTCCTTCAAGAAAAGCACCTGCCCACATTTACGCTCTATATCATAACTGCAGAATACTAATCAGTAGTGGTGTTTTAATGTTTGACTATAAAAAAATTCAGAAGCAGTCAGTATCTATATACACCAGCTGGTAAAATAAGATGTTACCGTCAGCTGTTACTTCAATATAGTTTCAATCAAAGATTCATACCTGCTTTTTATTTCAGAATCACAGTTTCAACTGAACTACACCAGAGACAAAAGCTCCAAATCTGAATTTTTTCCCTTTTTTTATTTTTTCTTCCTAACACACCACTTTCACCTTTCATTTAATAATGTCAGTCTTTTTTGCTTTGTTTCAGTATCACTTTAATACTCCCATCAATGTGAAAAGTGGAGTCTTTTATCTTGAATAGCAACTTGCTTGTGAGCGATTTTACCAAGAAAATGCTTTGTCTAAATTTCCTAACACTACAGTAACCGATTTATTTTCCCCTTTAAGGATATTCAGTTGCATTATCACTTCTAAATTACAAGTTACAAATTTGATGCTTATCTTCTTATGTAAAATTAATCAAAACCCCCAAAAATTACAAAACTATTATAAAACTGATGTTGAAACCGGTCATACAACAGCTTTTAAAAAAAATAGTATTCTGTATTTTTTCCCTAATTTCTTTATAAGTAGATCACTTTCCTGAATACAGAAAAACAATAATCTGTTAAATATTTCCAAGTTTTTCTTCCTGTTTGTCATAAAATAAACATATTTTCTTCTTATTCACTTTCATCTTTACTAGTGAATGTGAACTCTACAGTCCTTGCCAACTAAGTGCTTCTTTTCTAGTAGAATCTAGCGAATTTAATTATTTTCTCTTCCTGAGTGACAAGAAAATACCAAGAAAATTCCTTTGTAATTGTTCTGTAATAGATAAAGTGCTTCTTTTTCCTTGTAAAAACCACAAATCTTAATCATTCTCTTCCTGAGAGACCACCGCAAATTATGAAAATTACTTGCAACCGTAATGTAACACGCAGACAATGAGTCAAGAGGTCACTTTTAATCCTTACAATGGAAGGTTAAAACGGAGGACCTTAACGTCTAGTGGAAATTTAATACATTAACTCACGCATGCACACAAATGCACGCACACAGTCAAATGGAGAGGNTCATTTTATCAAGTCTCGTCAAAGGATAAAAGTTTCTTCTTACCGAACAACCTAATGATTTTTTTAAAAGCAGGTCTTAAATATGAGCAGAACATACAGTGAAATAACCTTCAAATATTTCTCGACAAAATTCTATACAACCTTCACTTCCACATACACTTAACAATACAATCGAATTGAAGAAAATAATTTTCAAATATCTTCCTCGACCAAAATTAACTCTGCAACAGTCAGTCTGATGTATTATATATTATATATATACTTTACCCTATCTGATAGCAACCACTCTTATCAATATAATTCTTATTAATCAACGATTCCCAAGGCTACAGGCTAGCACTATCTTCCCTGTGAGCAGTGCACGTTCCATCACACAATTTGAACTCCAATAGTACAATGCCACACATATCAATTGTGTCACGTCCATATGATAAAGCTAGGAGATAGACGCCCACATAGTATCAGTGGCAACGTTCTATAATTGTCATATTTCTCGTCAGGTCTGTTCATTAATTTCACATGGTGATTACAGTGATAAGGGGCCCGTTTCACAAAGAAAAAAGAAATCCCCCGTTTTTTCCCTTTTTTTAAGAGTATTGGAGTCTGAAAAATTAGTCTAGATTTTTTAACCCAAATTCTACCTTTTGTGTTTAGGAACAATTCAGCATTGGGATAATTGTGCCTGTTTAATTACAAGAAAGAAATTCAGACCAATTATTTACTTAATTTAAGTACAGACACTACTCATTTTGTGACCTAAGTAAGAGTTTAAACCAATTCTAGAGCTAAAATTCCTTTGTGACACTTGCCCCAAATGTGCTGTGTGGAAAAAGATTCCTTTTAAGCATCTTAATTAATACTAAGTGGCAAGGCTGTAGAAGACAACAGTCTCAGTGACGATATGTCATTTTTTCACTGACAGCCACGTCTATATGTTGAATGTGTTATAGCGGATTTGGCAATAGATATATTATAAATATATCAATTAGGACCCATTGTCTTTATTCTAATATATATATATATATATATTTAGTTTATCACAGGGTCAGAGGGGATGCAAGGTTAATGTACTGGTGCCCTGATACGATAATTTCTCAAAGATTTATAACACCTCTAGTTCATTGTTTTCAACGTTTATCAATTTTAATTGCTCAAAATGTTTCCACATGAACATCTTTCTTTCAAAGTTTTTTTTTTTTTCTTGAACTACAATTTATTTTTATCACTTAGATTTACTCTGATAAAGAAAATATAGTAATTCAAATTTGTCTATATTGATCTAGCTACTAACTACCGTCAACCCCAAGCTGGTGTCTCAAACCAGACACCCTACACACTGCTGGCACTGGCGTGCAACAGCTGAAGTGGGGCAGCAGCCTGTTTACACAAGAAAACTTCGGACTGATATTGGTCAAAACTTTTAGTAAAACAAAAGAAATTCTATCTACTTTGAACCAAGGTGAATCAGTAACAGTAAGAAAAATTACGCTTGTTTTATAACAAAAAAGTAAAGAAAAGATGAACCTCCTATCAAATTTATCTCAATACTCCAATACAGCAGCCAATGACAAATTCCTTGAATCATAAATAAATCAATACAAATAGGCGTGTTTTTATTCCAAATTCTCTCTCCCTCTCTCTCAAACTAGCAAGCCCCAACATTGTTAAAGTACATTCAGCTTCTGCCATTAAATACCACTTAATCTACATCTTTTTTTTTTTCTCTTTCAATCCCATCTTTTATATGGGAACGCCAATAACTGCATTCTCAGTTTAAACACAGTCTATTTTCATATTAGGACTGCCTACGCACGCAAAAGGAGGTTACGTCAAATAAAAAAAAAAAACACATCTTCTGAGGTTTCCACCATCTTTGCAGCCTACAGAAACCTAGATAGACATTTTCAATTATCAGAAGTCAAGGACATGTAGCTTTTTAATAAGTTATAGCCCCTCATTGATTAGTCTACGCAAGGAGAAACGTCAGAGGAACAATACGGATAGGGCGCATTCCAAGTCAATTTGTGACAGCCCAACTTAGTGCATTCTTTCTCAAGATGTGATGTGATTATGTTTTCTTACTGTATGCCTCAATCTAACGCCACAAAATTTATCTCATCCACACTTGCAGAGTAGCAGACTAATTTTACTGTTTAAATAGCACTAACTATGGCAAGCCATAAAGCGAACTGGAAACACAGCCAGATATCCATCCGTCTCCTTTAATACCAATCAATAAGAAGTGGAGAATAAATTTGCCTTCAAACAATGACCAAATTCCATCCCCTTTTATGATGAGAAAAACTAAAAATACCTTGGGTCTGTTCCAAAAAGGACTTCAGCATGTAAATTTGCCTCAACTTAAGACCAGAATTTTTGCAGCTTTACCAAGAATACCAGCTCCTCCTGTCCCCTTTTTCCCTTCAAGTGCACCTCACAGCCTGTTCTCCACTTACTGATTTGAATAAGGAAAGAATACTAGTTCCCCCTCCCCCCCCCCTTTTAAGTGCACCTCACAGCTGGGATAGCGCTAACACTCGCCAATTTAGCCAAATGCTAAAACTGACTTTAAGTGATAATAACTCTTCGTTTCGGCCAAAAAATGAATTTTCCTGGAGTAAACAACAATTTTCCCATACTTACCAATGGTTAATGAATCCATTTTTACATTCAAAGTTAGTCCCTGGTTTTTTTCTTAAAAGTTTGGTTTTTTGTTAAAATCTCTTAAGAGATTATAACAGAGTATAGCCATCAATGGAGGTCACGTGGTCTAAAGACAAGCTCAGATATCAGAATAATAGCTATAACAGCCGTTTTTGTGGGAAAACAGAATATATTATATTTTTATGAGTCACTCACAATGTTTTTATTGTGAAATACAGATTTCATACGAAGAGTTATTATCCCTTTAAATTGGCTAAAGAAAAGGGCTTGATTTGACTAATTTTAATCAAATTAGAACCATTTGGATAACAAATTGACAAAAAAGTGGTGATTTGGCAAAGGGAAAAAAATTGCTAGCGCTACCCCAGCTCACAGCCTTCACTCATTTTGAATAAGGAAAAATTGAAAGTTTTTTTTCTGCTTCCCCCCTTCCCACCCCGCAAAACATCCACCTTATTTAGATAAGAATACAGATTTTTTTCCTGTCTCCCCCCTCCCCTAAATGAACCTCACAGCTTCCTCTCCATTTAGATAAGAATAAGGGAGAGAATACCTCTGTCCCAAGTGTCCCGTTGATAAGCCACCAGGTCAACACGTGGCCAGGTAGATAAAACAGCTGTACCATGAGCTGTACTGACAGGCCTGAGGACAACAACCTCAGGTCAAACATGTGTTCTTTCACTGATAAAACAACAACAGAGGCTTGAAGGTGTGTTCTGACTGGCTAAAATTAAACTGCTGTCACTGATAAAACAACAAAAGAAGCTTGAAGGTGTGTTCAGACTGGTTTAAATTAAACCGCTATCACTGATAAAACAACAGCAGAGGCTTGAAGGTGCCTTCAGACTGGCTAAAATTAAACTGCTGTCACTGATAAAACAACAAAAGAAGCTTGAAGGTGTCTTCAGACTGGTTTAAATTGAACCGCTAGACTTGTTCAATTGCAGCTGGACAGTCGGAGCATTCAGACTGGTTTAAATCAAACCGCACATAATGCGTAAGTGTGACAACATTTCATTTGGACAGTAGGAGCATTCAGACTGGTTTAAATCAAACCGCAGATAATGCCCAAGTGTGACATTTTACTTGGACAGTAGGAGCATTCAGACTGGTTTAATTCAAACCGTAGATAATGCCTAAATGTGACAACATTTTAGATGGACTGTGGGAGCATTTAGACTGGTTTAAATCAAACCGCAGATAATGCCCAAGTGTGACATTTTACTTGGACAGTAGGAGCATTCAGACTGGTTTAAATCAAACCGTAGATAATGCCTAAATGTGACAACATTTTAGATGGACTGTGGGAGCATTTAGACTGGTTTAAATCAAACCGTAGATAATGCCTAAGTGTGACAACATTTTAGTTGGACAGTGGGAGCATTCAGACTGGCTTAAGACACTGTTAATAACACCTCGCTGTGACGACATTACTGTATTCAGACATTTTAAACCCATGCTGGGGTAGCGCTAGCACTCGCCAATTTAGCCAAATGCTAAAACTGACTTTAATTGGCTAAAGAAAAAGGGCTTGATTTGACATGTTTTAGCCAAATTATAACCATTTTGATAACAAATTGACAAAAATGTGGGTATACGGCTAAGTGAAAAAAATTGCTAGCGCTACCCCAGCCATGTCTCTGCCTTAGACTAAAAATTTTTTAGTTTGAAAACCCTGAATGTGCCTGTTACATGAGATGAAAAAGTATAAGTTTGGTGTCAGCTTGTTACTTCTTACACGAAATGAAAAAAAAAATTTACTTTTAAAACTAAAGCAAAGTGTGCCTGGGAAGACTGATACCATAACTTCATACATAGGTAAAACACACAGAGCACTGCGTAAAAGTGAAAGGAAACTCGGGATCATATTTCTAATAATAAAACATTGCTTCTCATCGCAAGACCTTTCCTTCGTCAGGAAAATGACAGGATACAGGAAACCACGAAAAAATACGAAACCGCCTAGGCAATGTAATGGCCCAGATTCCAACCAATATTGGCAATGGATGTGTAACTGTAGCACGTGCTACACGAAGGTCACAGTGACATGTACAGGGAGATGAGTTCACGCATGTCATATGACATGCTTATTTATTTGAATTCCTGCCCTGTTATGGGACATTTCATTCAGTTTCAGCGTCACGGTCTCTCCAGTTTTCTCCACTTATCCCAAGTTTTCATGAGATAACGTTATTGTACAAGTTTACGTAATTTATTGAAATACAATCTATGAACTTCAAAAACGTTTTGTTGAAGTTTTCAGTACGGTTACGGTATGGTCATGGCAACAGTATGTAAGTACTCCTCATTTTTTCCAAGAAGATCAAAATCTTTCACATGAACTCTTACTTATATGTATCATAAGCCTTTCAATTTTTGCTCCAACTCTTATATAGATGGTAATGTTTCCATGTATCCACACACATACTGATGGTACTGTGGCCATGTACACACAAATGAGTATTCAAGTATAACATTCATGTGACCAGTCCACTAAGGCTCTATTCCCATAGATTTTAGATCGATCTATCCCCGCGGGGAGTCTCACTAGATTACTTTCAGATAATCCGACTTAAATGTCCGTCCCGCCTACTACAAGCTGTAAGGGGATAATTAACTTTCGTGTCCGCCCGGCTGACAGCTATTTAGCATGAACCCCCAGGGAGTTAGGTCGATCTAAAGTAGGTCGATCTAATCTATGGAAATGGGGTGTTATTTGTACAATTTGCTTGGACACTTCATTGTACCACTTAGTGAGCACATTCAGAACAGATAACCTGCAGACTTACTGACCCACTCACTAAATATGGCCGACCCCACTTAAAAAGCAATCCTGTTAATTCTCAGATTCTACTGCTGCAAGGTGTTCTAAACAAGACTTTATCCAAGCAATAAATGAAATTCACCCATACATGCTTGATGGTAGTATCTCCATGTGCAATCACAAATGCCAAATGGTACTGTATTCGGGTGACCACACAGATGGTAATATCACCATGTACCCACATACACACACATAGTAATGTCACCATGTACTCACACACGCAAACCAGGAAAGCACCATACTCACACAGAGACAGATTGTAACATCACAATACACACACACACACACATAGTAATATCACCATGTAAACACACACAGATGGTAATATCACCATGTAAACACACACAGATGGTAATATCACCGTGTAAACACACACAGATGGTAACATCAACATGTAAACACACACACATGGTAATATCACCACGTACACATGCAGCTGGTAATATCACCATGTTCACATTGAGACAGATGGTAACATCACCATGTACCCCCCCCCACACACACACACAGATGGTAATGCCACCATGTACTCACCCATCATACTCTGGTCACTCATGCTGCTCATGCTGGTGGTGATAGGGGGTCGTACAGGCTGTGGGTACTGAAAACTCTGTGGAAAACCTGGGACGCTCCCATTGTCCCCACCTGAAATATATAGATCATATTGTACAGGCCATAGTTTATATAGGTCATAGTAAAGTCCATAGTACAAAGGTCATATTATTTAGGTTATTTCCACTGTATTTACATCTTGCCGGCCTATGTTGCAAAATACCAGGAAAAAAATGAACTTGGGCCAGTAATATTCTGTATTATTTTCCAGTTACTGAGCATTATTTCTGTATTAGACCAGTGGTCTATGAGATATCTGAAAGGACAAAAGGGTCTGTCTCTTTCCTTAACATTGTGAAGACATGATAAATATGAAAAACTCTGATACTGGAAGTAACATTTAGCAAATGACATTGCGGTCTCAACCTGAGACCCTTCTTTAGCCAGGTAAATGACCTGGATGGACTGACCACCTGATCTATTGTTGGTCAGTTGCTAAATGTAAGTTTCAGTATCAGAGTTATTCATATTTATCATTCTTATTCTACTGGATGATTTACAAAATTCACCCATTAATGTGAAGAAATATTAATGAAGTACAGTCAGCAATACTGACCATCAGTTAAGTCCATCAGCAAGAGGAATTTACGTCAAACCAGTACAAACCACAAGATTTTTTCAAACAGTGGCAAGCCTGATCAGATTTTTGGAAATTTTAATTTTTTTACACATATTGATTCTTTCAGCTACAGCAGAAACATTGCCAAGGGCCACAACATAATTTTGAAAAATACATAAACAGCCAAAGACTTATAAGGTAGAGGGAAATGCTGCAGAAGTACCGAAACCACTTTTACTTAGGTTTAACAAGGACTTCCCCCGAACTACATTGTAAAGGAAAATATTAAGAATTTTTTACAGGCCCAGAACTAATTTAACTGACTTTAGGAGAGGAACACCACAAAATGTGTCATTAAAATAGAAAAATTTAGCAAATTTTAAATCGAAAGTTTGCAGCAACCGATGTTAACAGTGTCTCCAAATCCAAAAGCCAAATCCAACAGGCGTTCAAAACAGTTTATTTTCTACTAGAATTTTCCATTGATAACACTCCAAACTCAAACTAAACCGATTATTAAATAACATAAAAGCCAAACACATTCATTTCGGCTGTTTTCGAACCGAGATTTCTTCTATATCAAAACATAAAGATCCAAAACATTGGGTCTTTGTCTGAAAAGGTTGCTCAAGGCGTCAGGGGATTTTCCCCCATTTCTAACAACAGGTGCCCGTTATACACGTCTCAAAAGTAACGTTTACTGATGTTTCGTGTTAAAAATCCGTATCCACTATTGACTTTGATCTCACCTGTGCCTATTGGGAACATGGAGGGACTTGTTACCTGCACTACTGACGAGTATTTCGATTAAGCTTGCAGAGTACAATAAAATATTTCAAAACCAAAATGGCCGACAGGGGTAACATAAAGGGTTGTCTAATTTCAAGCGCGGCATTACGCGGAACGATTTGCGAGTTTAGGGGCTTTTGTCCAGTGGTCGGTGTTGATTTATACAAATAATCTAGCAAAATATTTAAAACTGGAATGTTGTGTAACGTGGAAGAGTCGCCCATATTGTTTAAAGTTGGAAAATTTGACGAATTTGCTGCGGCTCAGTGAGGGTGAGTAAGCCGAAGGGCGGAACGACGGAGGTTGGATTTTTGTCGTTTGCTTTTGCCAATTCCACGCCACCTAATTCCCTATTCAGAAGTGACCACGAAAACATGTATAGCATGATATAAAACAATATTCTATTTTTTAATTTTACTTTTAAGTCCTCACAAGGTAAGGGTCATTTGGTGAGACGCGTTGCGCTGTTGATTGTGACCTTGCACATCTAACACAATTTACAGCACCTTTACATTTTCCCTTCGTTTTAGGTCTACCAAAAATTCAACTGTGAGGTCGCTGGCCCGTTATGGGTTCTCCAACGATGATCGACATATTATCCAGGGAATATGTTATGGGGTACTGTGATAAAAAAAAAACAACAAAAAACGATACGATGATAAACACCTGTAACAGAAAGAAAGGGGTGGCCCTTAAAAGGACCACACTACCTAGAATATTGTCCTAAAATTTCTCCGTAGCAACATATTTCACCTTCTCACACTGAGTGCTCGAATTTTCAGCCCGAAGTCAAACTAGCAATTGCCTATCCAGTTCGACCCTAAAACAACTGTCGCCCTAAAACAACAAAAAATTCGTACTTTTTTGTGAAACGGGTCGCAACACTTTCGTTACAGTCGATCAAAAAGTTACTCTTAGTATTCAGCCTTAGTACAAGAATTAGTAAACTTAATCAAACATCGTGCTGCTTACCTTTTTTTCTAAAGCGGTGCCCGGAATTTCCGCGTGTTAAACGCTTACCGAGAACGCCGACTTCTGTGAAACCTGGACTCGATACGATTCCAATGAAGCGTGAATACAACAACTTACAGGTGAACCGCAATCACGCGACGAGCTGAGAAATCCTAATCTGTCGGGAGAGGCGCTCAGCAAGGTGAGTAGCAGTCGCTTTCATATATTTTTTTTGTTTGTTTTTATCTCATGCGATTCAATTTCAAAGTCATGTTTATTTTTTAGGCGTAGGGACCTAAACTGTGGGAAGATGATAATTTATTCTATTGTATTTTTGTTTTTTAATTTTTTAATTTTTTTTAGCACAAATTGCTATTTTTCTTCTAACAGTTATGAAAATGCTGTTTTTAATTTGCTGCGAATGCCATGGTATTTTTCTTTTTTTCTTTTCTTTTTTTTTTTTCGTAATTTGTCTTTGTTTTAAACGTTATTGTTTCTTTTTTTAAAAATTCTTTCTTAAAGTTCAAATTGATGCCAAATACGTTCGCTACACTGATTATTTTCTGAAAATTATTTTCAGAAAAAGAAAAAAAATCTCTTAACGCGAAAAGCAAGAGCGCGGATGAAAAAAAATTTATCTAGCGATATTGCTTTCCCGCATTTTATAAAAAAAAATTATCGCTAATTCAAATTTTTAAAACATGAAGTAAAATAGTCCTGTTTATGTGGCGGTGGAAACTTACGCTCTCTTCATGTCGCGTGGTCCTTTTTTTTTCGCACCATTTTGAGGGATTGAAAACTTTTTAGTCTTAAAAGTGAAAGAGTTGCATAAATGTATATTGATATACAACTCCAAAAATAATATGCGCACTAGAAGAGGGAGGATTTCGAAATATGTACTTGATAATTGAATTGAATATACATACGCGCTGAAAGAAATGCGGAGAAAAATGCTTAGGCGTATAAATTCAAGCCTATTCAATCACAATTCGGATTTTGAGTTTTATGATAGTTATTTTATTTTTTTAACAAATTTACAAAAAAAACATCGACGTAAAATATATAATGATGAAAAAAATTAAAAAAAAAAAAAAAGATGATGAACAATATACGGACCACTAGCTAGAAGGGCGCGCCAGTTCTATAATTATAGAAAAAACAAAAATTCAGATATGGGTTATATCTATGATATTAAATGCTTTGATTTGTAAGCAGTGACTACACTTATATAGGATGTAGCAGTAGTAGTAGACTCGCCAGCGACGAACAAAAAAGTGAAAACGCGTTTACATGTATCTTATGGTTTAAGTTGAAAAAAGGATAAAAAAAAAACAATTTGATCACTTATTTTAAAATTTCTCCCTTCTTTTTACTAAAAAGCTCATTTTTTTCACAAAATACCACGAGTTTTGTAACTATTTAACATTATATAATTTGCATTACATTATCTTACAACATCAAAATTGTGTAAGCTGTACAAATATTTAGTATAAAAATCATATTAAATCAATCGCACAGACATTCGAGGTTATGCACAGATTTTCACATTGTTGAGATGTTGCTGCAACCCTGAATTTCAGATAGTGCTGGAAAACGGCAGAGGTATTCTTATGATGTAGAGAATAATTTCCAGTGACTTCCAAAACTCAGGCCAGAGTAACGCAATTTATGGTCAGACCAAATGTTGAACGCGTTGTTTAAAAAGACTATTATGTATGATATAAACACTTTTATGTATAGTATTTTGTTAAAGGTTGGAATTATATGGTAATTAAACGCTATTATGTATGGCGTTTTGTTAAATGCTATTTTTATGATATTTTTATAAGTCGCCACCCCAGCAGAAGCCCACATCGTCTCTATGTACTCGGCTGGACGACTGCTTGGTTTCGATCAATTTGTGAAAGCATCAAAAAACGCCGGAGACGTCTTTTCAACCTTTTTTTCCTGGATTTTTGCCAAGGGCGTCCGTTCTTTTTTTGCTTTGCATATACACTGTACATGTACATTTCGGCTATAAGGACGGACACAAATGATAATGTTAATGATATTCTCTCGGCTCTTTCAAGATTTTTTCACAATTCAGTCCTTTTACTCTAATATTAACCCGGTCTGCAATTAAATCGTTTTTTGAAAAAGATGGGGCCGGGGGGGGGGGAGGGGAGGGGGTGCGTCCTCGCCCTCCCAATCCAGCCCCCCCCCCCCCCCCCCCCCCCCCCCCCCCCCACCCCCCCCCCCACACCCACCACCACA